GTGCAGTCGGTAAACCGCACGTCCTGCAGCGTACCGTATGGAACAAAGTACTCGTCCTACGATCGGCTCTCGATGCCATCGGGGCTGTACAGCCACAGCGTGATCTACGGCTCCGACTCGTGTAGCGGCAAGGCGCGGTGGCTGAACTATTACACGCACCTCTGGCCCTATGTGGGCTTCTTTTACAGCAGCACGGGCCGGTACGTGGCCATGTACAACGGCACCGACACCAGCTTCTGGGATACCGGTGTCGTTCATTCGATGAAGAACGAGTCGCCGCCGCCTCTTGCCGAAACCACGACCATGGGCGGCGACTTTTACGCAGTGCAGCGCTATGCCGAGGCCCCGCTCAGCCCAAAGACAACTGCCAGCACCTCGAAACCCAAGCCATCGCAATCGTCCCGTTCGCCACAATCGTCGCGTTCGCCACAATCGTCGCGTTCGCTACACTCGGCGCGCTCCTCGGGCGCATCAGAATCGGACGAGACCGGGTCGCCAGACTCCCCCACCGACTCGGAGGAGGCTATGCGCAGCAGCGACAGAATGTCCGGTTCTGACAGTGTCGCCGCCACCGCCCGCGATTCGGAGGGGCTGACGCGCGCGCAAAAGATAATCATCGGCGTCGTTGTCCCTGTGGTCGGCCTCCTGGTTCTTGTCGGGCTGGTCCTGCTATTCAACATCTGGAGGTCCAAGCGGCAAGACCACGCTTGGGACCCCCGCTCGCAGACGGCAGCGCTCCAGAACGCCGCCTGGGACCTGGGCGGCGAGCAGCCACACACCCCGCCGCCCTACGAGCAATCTCGCGATGCGCTTGTTGTGCCTGTCGTCCTCCCCGATGACGCAAAAGAGGCAGAAAAGAACTAATTCGGCCAACTTCTGTCGGCCCGCTACTCTAGGCGCCCACTCGTTGCAGTCCCCTCTCCGTACATCCCGTGTCCTTCTTGGTAGCGCAGGCTTGTTGGTGCAGGGGATCAGTGTTCATCTGGTGATTTCAGCTATGACACTGCAGCGTCTATGTCGTCACCAGTGGCCAGCCGTGAGTGTGAGGTTGACTGCTCGGCCGACTGCGGCTGGCTGCGGACAGCTGCGGATAGCTGCGGAAGGCAGCTGGTAGGGAGTGACTGCGAAAGGCTGGCCTTGGTCTCTCAGTCCAACACTACCACCTCATCAGTCTGGACAGTGTGACGGGAGCTCTGGCACGGAGATTTGGGGTTTCTGGGCCCAGCACCGTCAGTGCTTCACAGTGCTTCAGGTGAAGTGTGAATGGTGTCAACTCGGGGATGCTTTGACGCAGCCCTTTCTGATTCCATCACTCAATGTCACTTTTGTTGAGCTCCAGCTAGCGCTACATCCGTTTTGGCGGGGCGACGGCTCCCTCATCTTCGCTGCCAATTGCTTAAATTCAGCTGCCTGGCGCGGCCTCCCCTCGTGCTGTTCGCCAAACACCTCCAACACCACACCATCAACTTTCTCTACACATTTGCCACCTCTAACTCAGATAATGGATAGTGCTACCATGAGTTCTTATATTATTCACTTCGTTGAAGCTAACAATGAAGAAAGCATATACGATTATTCATTAAGACCTAATTGGGCAATCGGTGCTATAGTCAAGAACGAGAGACCCGATGCCAAGACTGGCGACTATTTCGCGGAACAAGTGGACTCTATGTATGGCATTGTAGTAACCCTCTACCACAAGGGCTTCCTGGCATTACATAACATAAGCCAAGAGGGGCTGGCGAGAGTCAGTATCCCCCTGAAAACGCCAGAAGTGAAGTGTGATGGGGTAGAAATGTGGAGTGAGGCATCCCGAGCCGCTCTGGAGCAGCGCTGCGGCGATTCTTCGATCTTTTTTGGGTTCTATTATTAACATTTTGTATGTGTCGTTCATAGCTAAAGAGTTTCTGGAGGTGTGTTTTCTTGAACAGAGGTACTCTTTTCGTCTGTAGAGCCGCCCTAGCGTCACTTCCCACCAAGACCCACGGACAGCGATCACTCTGGATCTTTATTAGTAGTTACAATTACATTGTGCCGAGAACAGAAAAGAAAAGGAAAAGCCCGGGTAGCCAGTACAGGGTGCTACTGGGTCGGGTGATGATGAAAGAGAGACCTAGCGCGAGGACGGGGGTGCATCGGTTGTGGAGGGGGCTGAGGTTGGTGCTGGGCTGGGCCGCACAGCCGTGCTGAGTTTGAGATGGAGAGGGTGCCGGGGAGGTCAGGGTCAAAGGAGGGGTGAGTGAACGAGAGTGTGCACATCTCTATTCGCCCGCGCCTGCCTGGCCTGAACGAGAACCAAGCGGACTCCATGGCTGCCTATCTGGCTTTAAAGACCCGGCTGTTGTTGTTCGGCGCATGTGTGTAAAAGGCATGCACGACCCGCTGCATGACCGCGTGCTTCCAGCGCGCATACGTGGCGTCGCCGGTCTTGATGGTAGCGGAGTCGAAGAGAGCCTCAGTATGGGCAATTTCGCGCGGTGTGATGACGAGGGGTATGTGGCTGTGTGTGTGCGGGAGTGTGCGGGAGTGTGCGGGTGAAGTTGGCTTTCCGAGAAAGGTGCCGTCGCCCAGAGTCAACCCTGGGAGTTCCGCGTCGGCTGCGGCATCCCTAACCACCGGGCGGGATCCAGGCCCCTCCCATCCCCGTTGTGGGGCTCTCCCCAGGTGTGAAGTTGACTGCTCGGCTGGCTGCGGACAGCTGCGGACAGCTGCGGACAGCTGCGGAAGGCAGCTGGTTGGGTGTGTCTGCAAAAGGTTGGACATGACCCCTCTGCCCAGCGCTACCAGTTCAGCAGTCAGAGCAGTGCGACTGTAATTCTGGCACAGAGGTTTGGGGGTATCTGGGCCCCATGCAACAAGCGAAAGCGTGGGTAACGTGCGAGCTTGGGGCTGCTTTGTCGCAACCCTTTCTGGCCGCCCCACCGCGCTTCACCTTCGTTGGGCTCCAGCTGTTGCTCCAGTCCGTGCTCCATCAATTTTTTAGTGAGGCCACTGCTCCCTCATCTTCGCTGCCAATTGCTTAAATTCGGCGGCCTGGCGCGACCTTCCCTCCTGTTGTTCACCAAGCACCACTCACATCACACCGCCGGCTTTCTCTGCACATTTGCCACCTCTGTCTCAGAAAATGGACAGTGCTACCATGAAACATTACATTATACAGCTCGTTGAGGATGGTAGTGAAGTGACGATCGATTATTCAACAAAACTGGATTGGACAATAGGTGCTATAGTCAAGAGCGAGAGACCCAGCGCCAAAAGCGGCGACTATTTCTTGTTCCAAAAGTGTACCACAGGGGACGGTGTGATCATCCTCTATCACAGGAACTACCTGGCATCACAAGGCATTAGCCAAGTGGGAATAATGAGTATCGATATCCCCGAGGTTCTACCACAAGTGAACTGGGAAGGGGCGGAAGCGAGGAGAGAGGGGGAAGTAGGGGAAGAGGCAACCCCAGCCGATCCACCCCAGTACTACTACGTAACTGCGGACTTAGCCGCGTTCTGGTAGAAACAATTTGTATGTGTTGTTCAAACAAAAGCTAGAGTGTCACTGGAAGCGTGCTGTCATGGACAGCGGTACTTGTTTCCGCCGTAGAGCCGCCTCAGTGCCACCTCCTACCAAGACCCACGGACGGCGACTGCTTCGCGCCCGGCAATTATGCAGGTGCCCGGTGTGCGTGGGCGTTAGTCGCCTGCTCACTTCCTGGTGTACCTGTGTTTCCCCGACGAGATGTGCTTGCTGGCGTTGTGTTTGCTGTCTTTCATCGTCTGCTGGCGGATTGCAACAGAAAGAAACCCTGCCTCCAATCCACAAAGACGGTGCGCCTATCGAAAGAGGAGCTCAGCACCGTTTATCCAAAATGTTGTGACGCGTCCTCTTGCGGGGGCACTTCTGGCGGTGTGGTGGCCGAGTGGTCTAAGGCGGCAGACTCAAGTTCTGTTTTCGAGAGAAGCGTGGGTTCGAACCCCACCCGCACCACTTTTTTCCTCCCCGCACAGGCAACATTTTTTATTTGCTGGTCGACGTGGAGTGCTCTTTGGGCTCGCGGTAGAGCTTGAGCGCGAGGCTGCTGGCCATGACGGACAGGCTGCTGGCAATCATGAGCAGGCCGGCAACGACGGGCGGCAGGCCGCGGTCGGCGGCGGGGTACAGGATCCCGGCGGCGATCGGGATGCAGACGACGTTGTAGACGGAGGCCCAGGCAAAGTTGATCTTTACGCGGCGGAAGACGACGCGCGACAGGTGGAGGAAGGTCAGCAGCGAGTGCAGCGTCGGGCGCATCAGCAGCACCGGCGCGGTCTCCATGGCCGCGGCCGTGCCCGACCCGACGGCAACGCCGACGTCTGCCTGCGCGAGCGCCGGCGCGTCGTTCACGCCGTCGCCGACCATGACGACCCGGGCGAGCGGGCGCGGGCGGGCGGGCGGCGGCGGGCGGCGGAGGACCAGCGCAGCCAGGGCCCCGGCGCGGCGGCGCAGGGCCGGGATCCAGCCGGCATCGGCGTCTCTGCCGCGCTGCTGCAGCATGCGGACGGTCTCGGACTTTTGCTCGGGCAGCACGCCGGCCATGACGTTGTCGATGCCCAGCGTCTTTGCGACGGCGTGGGCCGCGGCAGGGCTGTCGCCCGAGATCATCCACACGTCGATGCCGCGCGCCTTGAGCTGCGCCACCACGTCGCGGGCCTCGGGCCGCGGCTGGTCAGCCAGCGCAAACGCCGCCAGCACGCGCCCAGAGCCGAGCTCGGCCGGCTCCGGCGCCAGCGCGACTGCCACCGTGGTCAGCCCGCCATCGGCCCAGCGGGCGCGCGTCTCGGCAGGCACGTCCATCTGGCAGCCCTCGTCCTTGGCCCAGACCTCCTTGCCAACGAGCAGCCTGGCCCGCTCGACGGTTGCAGGCCAGCCCAGCGCCTGCGCTGCTTCGGCCGAGACGCGCACCATCCCCTGCATCCCGCGGCCCGGCAGCTCCTTGTGCTCGAGCAGCTCGTGCGCGGGAGTGGCTTTGTCCGGCTGAACGTCGCGGAGGTACGTGCAGATGGCGGCGGCCAGCGGGTGGCTGCTCAGCGACTCGATCTCCAGGACGCACGAGTCCAGCCACTTGCCGAACCCGGGCATCTTGGCCTCGACGCTCGCATCCTCATGGCCATCGACCACGGCGGGCTTGCCGACGGTCAGCACGCCCGTCTTGTCAAA